CTCATTAAGATATACTAATATATAACCATATGACAAGGGACATGTTTTTCATCTTAGGTCCATCTCCATCCTCTGACCCATCCACTGTGCCCACTGTCCCCTCTGTGTCTGCTACAACCTCAGCCCTACCTGGTAAGTTAACAACAAAACAGGCTTTGTAATTGCTCAGTGTACTGCAGAACATTCTAAGATGAATCATTTTTAATATAAGACATAATCATATGAAAAGGGACATGTTTTTAGACAAATGCATATTATTTCAAAACTTCTCAAGCAATGTTCAGTTGTTCCACTGGCAGATTGTTTTCTTATTACAAGCTATAGCTGTACTATTTTCAAGTATAATATGATATCTAACATGACTAGCTTTTGTTGTTGTTTTTCATCTTAGGTCCATCTCCATTCTTTGCTCCATCCACTGTGCCCACTGTCCCCTCTGTGTTGCAGTTTATTTGAAACAAAAAATAATAAAGCAGATTGTGTTTACAGTAAATGATTGGTTTATTTTGTTACTTTTAGTTGGCCTAGATGACATTTGGTATCCCACTTAGTACTATATCACTTTGAATATTAAGTGTAAATCAACCCCCAGCTGCTCTTGTAGCTGAATTTGCTACAATTTCAGATTAAAAACCATAAATAGGTAAAACATGCTGGGCTGCTCTTTGAGGTTTTATGTATTGATTCTCTATGTGGCCAGTAGGGGGTGTTGCTGACTTTGCCAAATATTAATTGAGAGATTTTTCAGCAAGTTTGCAAATCTGTTGTCTGCTTTCACTGTGGATTACAATCTAACTACAACAGAAAGTTCTCACATCTAGTTTTACAAGTGATGACAGAATAGAACATATAATAACTTACAGTGGGTGTGTGAATGATCAATAATCAGTATTATTAGCAGTAATAGAGGGCCCCAAAATCAAATTTTGCTTGGGGCCCCATGGAGGCTTGGGCCGGCCCTGACAACGAGGAAGAGGAGCTGCTCTGCCTGCTGGCTCTGCAAGCAAATAAACTGAATAGACGGTGGTATGTATGGCCACTAAATGCCACAAGAGACCAGGAAGGGGAGCTTGCCATGTTGGTGAGGGACATGCGAAGTCTTGACATAAACACTTTCAATACTTCAGAATGAATAGTGAAAAGTTAGACGATCTAGTTGGGCACACATCATCAGATGCTCCTGCTCTGTTCCACCACGCGATGGCGGCAAATACAAAATGCAGATCGGTGTCACATTTATCGGATGTCGATGTTAAAAATACATGCTGAGCAGTCTTTTGTGTGACACTGGTGCGTGGAGCGGAGTCCACGCGGTCGTAAAATCTGAGCTTTGCGCGCACAGGGCTTGCAGACGTCCGCTTTTAGTCCGGGCGGACCTCCACGGAGTCCGCTCCTCGTACGTCCCGCCCGAGTATGTCTGGGCCTTTAATCATGTCCTTAAGATCACCTATCAGCTCTTTGAGGTGAATACAGTGGACTTGGGAGGTTGGTGGATTTCCATAGTCTCTCTGTTTTGCGGCATATGCATCTAAGTCCATGGATGTCATCATTAAACCAGGGAGAGGAATTTACAGGACAGACAGTGCGAGTTACTAGGGGACCTACGTCATCTAAAATGGCTGTGCAGTGCATGTTGAAAACATGAACCAAACAATCTATGTCATCATCGCGGGACACCAAAACATTGCTATTGAAATTAGCAGTGTAACTTTCTACAGCTGAACTGTTAACAATGTGAGAGCATTTGGTTAGCTTCACTGGTACAAAATCCTTATCAAATGATAAGTTAAACATAACGCCTTTGTGATCAGTCACCAGCAACTCCCCAGTACACACATCGTTGACATTTAATCCAATCGTGAAAACAAGATCTAATGTGTTGCCCTTGCTGTGAGCGGGACCAGAGACATGTTGGGTGAAGAGAAATGATTCAGCAATGTTGAGAAAGTCAACTGCAAAATTGTCCGAGCTCTTGTTTACATGAATGTGAAATCCCCTATCATGAGAATTCTGTCCAAGCAGATGATGGATGCCAGAAAGTTACCAAACTCAGCTAGGAATGAGCTGTTTCTACCTGGGGGGCGGTAAATTAGAACGCAGTGAAAGGGGTTTGTGTGGCTAATTTTATTCATTAGCACTTCAAAGGACGAGTGAGATCCAGAGTTTAGCGAGCTAAAGTAAAAACAGTCTCGATAGACCATAGCTAAGCCTCCTCCTCGGCCTGTGGATCTAGGGGCACAGGAATAAGCGCAATCTGGCGGACATGGTGTGTTTAGAGAGGCAAAGACATCGGCTTACTGCCAGGTTTCAGAGATGAGCATGCAGTCCACGTTATTGGATACAAAGAAATCATTCAAAACAAATTATTTGTTTGCCATGGATCTGGCGTTTATTAATCCAATCTGATGATGTCAGATCCAGCTCTGCCGAAGACAGAGGCTCGAGGTAGTGATTGTAGGCACCACCAGGTGACAGGTGCAGTGTGAAGGAGGTTAGTATTATTCACAGCCTTAAAACTGCCACACACACAAGGAGGCCTATCAGTCACAATAGTTTGAATGGGGAGAACAGTAGTAGAGGGAGTTGGTGCCCGATGGTGCCTGTAGGGGGAGTTCTCACTGTGGACAGTACTCTGAGTCGGCACCATAGAAGAAGGGGGAGGGGGAGGGCCAGGTGTGTGGGATGAAAATAGTCAGACACGTGGACAGGATTGCACAACATGCTGTAAATTAGCTGTGAACGTGCGGCTGCCAAGTGTATTAGGATGGAGCCCGTCCAGCTTAAAAAAGGAATGTCATCCCCAAAACAAATTAAAGTTGTCAATGAAGCCTATGTTGGGAGCCCTGCAGGCCGACAGGAGATAAGTGCGTAGGCTAAGGATCCTGCTGAAGCTCTCTCACCCATGGCCAAGTGTGGGAATCGGACCAGAGATGAACGATGAGATGGGGAGGGGGGACAGAAACAGACCTGGAAGCTTCTGTAACAGGATGGCTACAGTAGCTCCAGGAAAGCAGTGTGTTACTGCATTAAAAAACCTGATATTTCTTATTATGGAATCTCCAAAGATGGCAGTGGCTGGAGGAAAAAGCGGACGGGGAGGAAGCTTCTGGGTATACTGGCAAGGAGCACCACTGCTGGACACCGGCACGATGGGAGCCCCAACACACGGGACCTCTCATTTAGTGTGTAGCTTTTTAAACCAGATAACATTATACCATTTGAACTTCAGAATCACTGACACAATGCCTACCTGTAGACAGCAAGAGATGTACAGAAAAACATATTTCTTCCAATCGGGTGTGATTGATTGATTTTGCATACACATTGGTAATGTATTACAACGCTACATCTGAACATTTGGCAAGCATTGTCAATATCATGTAAGCCTTACTTTAAATGTTCATCTTTTTTTTTTTTTTATAACACATATCTTTATTGATTTTTGAACTTGGTACAACATTCGTTCAGGATAATTTGTTATATCTTTCAAGTCTTTAAACAACTTCCCTCCCTCCCCCAAACCCTGAACACAGAGCCAACAGTATAAGAAAACAATAACAATAATGTGTTGTTATGTTGGCAGCTGCAAATAAAGAAAATAACTTAAATATGTACATATGTCCCTGTGGCTACAATATGTACAGCACACCTACATGTCATCAAGTAGATATATAAATACTCGACTGACAAACAAAACACAAAACAATACTTATGTATACATAAAAATAAGAAAAATAAAATATTATGTATGTAAAATAAAATAAAAAGAAACAAGAGAAACAAACTGAGAAACTATACCTAAATAAAATTTAAATGAAATAAAATAAAATTAAAAAAAATTAAATTAAAAGGGTACAGTCTTACTTGGTAGATGTTAGGTTTAAGGAGTTAGGATATCAAGTCTTGATTTCAAAAATATGATAAATGAATCCCATATTTTATGAAAAATATGACTCTTTTGTTTGATTGTATATGTAAGTCTTTCAATCGACAAGCAAGAAGAAAGTTCATTAATCCACATGTTCAAAGAAGGACAATTAACACTTTTCCAATGTCTGGCAATAAGACGTTTCGCATGTATTAAACAGAGGTTAAGCAGCTTACTCTCATGTGTTCTCAGGACCAGTGTTTCTGGTAACAGTCCGAGGATGCAGATCTCTGGGCATACAGGGATTTTTTTCTGGATTATGATGGAGATTGTATTAGTTATATTTTTCTAGAATTCTTGTAAATATTTGCATTTCCATATACAGTGGTAAAGGGTTCCCTTCTCCGTTCTGCATTTTATACAACTATCAGGGATATTAGGATTAAATTTATTGAGCTTTTCAGGAGTTATGTATGTTCTCATAAGCCAATTATATTGGATCAATTTCAATCTGCTATTAATAGATAGTGTTTGTGCTTGATAGCAAGCTTTTTCCCAATCATTTTCAGTGATTTCTCTTTGAAGATCCTCTATCCATGCCATTCTTTTGTAATCCGAAGATTCCAAAGATGTCTCTACCAGATTCTTATATAATACTGAGATCTTACTTTTAGCATATGGGTCAGATGTTGCCAAGTTTTCAGTAGTACTTAGGGGAGGACATTGATATGATTGCATCCTTGAGTGGATGAAACTCCGTATTTGAAAGTATTTAAACATATGAGTTTGAGGGATCCCAAATTTTTCTTTAAGATTATCAAAGGACATGAGGGTGTTATCTGAATAAAGATTTGCAATCTTCTGTAGTCCCAATTGAGCCCAGAGTCTGAATCCACGATCCGATTTGCCTGGTGTAAATAAAGAATTGCCCCAGATAGGAGCAAATTGTGAAAGCCCAGTCGGCACTTTAAACATTTCCTGTGAATCATGCCAGGCTATAATTGTGGTTTTAACAAATGGGTTAGCTGTATTCTGCTTAAGTTTTTTGAGAGAGTCAGAGTATAGATATGTATCTAAAGTTAGCCCTCCGGCACATTTTTCCTCTATCTGGACCCATGGTAAATTGGGAGGTTAAATGTTCATCTTATCAAATACTAATTCTAATTGTAAACCAAAACTTAAGTCCTAACCAGCAGGACAATGTCCTCACGTAAGAGGATTGCCCTCATTTGTATACCCCATTTTGACAGAAATTGCGATGTCACAGGCCTTGTCAGGATGTGTTAGGATGTGTTCAGGATGTCTTACTTGTAAGAATTGTGGTCCAGGGTGCTGCGGTCCAGGTCAATGTGGTTGATGAGTCTTCGGCTGTAAAGAACATTCATGTCTTTGGTCACAGACAGTAGACTGTGGCAAAACTTCACGCCAGTCTCCTGCAGCTCCTTGGTTCCTGTCTGCAGGCCCTGCACATACACACACCCACCCACCCACACACACACATGCACCCACCCACGCACGCAGGCACGCAGGAACGCACACACGCACACACACACACACACACACACACACACACACACACACTTTAAGTCCAAGATTGCATTCATGCTAACTAAACAAATGGATTGATCTTCACAGCCGACACACATGCTGTGTTTCTGCCTGAACACACACACTTACACACTTTGTTTTTGTTTCTCTTTAGTTTGTTCGGGCGGAGGGTGGAAACATTGGACCTAATGCAAGAACCAATCGTATGAACAGAATGAACAGATTTCTTCTTAACTGGCAGTGACATGTTTTTGAAATAATTCATGCTAAGTTTACGTGTTGCTGATTGTGTGTTTTAAGTGCACTTTTTCTAGTGAGGCTTCTTCTAAAAGCGTTCCTACAGGCACTTTAGTTTTTATTTGCGACAGTTTAATTTGTACTACTGTATTTTATTTGCACTATTTATACAAAAGGTTTTTTATTGCAGTTTTTATGATTACCTCCTGGGCTAGGGCAACCTTAAGGAGCTTTTATTCTTTTAGCCTTACCTGACATGATAAAGTTGATGTATTTATTTAATCCAGTAGTCCTAATTGCACTATTATGTTATTCAAATCTGGCCGTGCATACTACATGGTTGTCTACTGTGTGTCTTGTTTGTATATGATGGTTGTAACTGCTATGCAGTTATGTCGCACTATGTGCCCAAAATAAATTTCCCGCTTGGGACAGTAAAGTTTATCTTATCTTATCTTGTCTTGTCTTGTCTTGTCTTATCTTAAGTAAATCTTATATCGATAAAAACCTACATCTACAGTATGTGCATGACTGTGTGAGAAAAAATAAATGGCTGTTGAAGAGCAGGAAAGCTTTATATATAAACAATGCAACAATAATCATAAACAGTTGCCTCTTAGATAAAAACTACATGTGTTTTTGATAATAACCAAACGTGTTTATATATGGGGGAAGGGGTTATATTATATATATATTATGTCGGTCTTAGTGAAATACATCATTAAACAAAATCACTATGTAAAGCCTGTGGGCTCAGGGTAACTGTCTGGCTAGTAAAACCCTTGCACGAAAACACTATAACAGCCCAGATACAGATGACCCAGTGTTAAATGGTTCTAATATTCCCTCCTTAGGTTAAAAAAAATCATCCTTAAACAGCACAACAAAAAACAGCACCAAAGTCTCAAAAGGGCCTGGGGACCAGAATTTCTGGCTGACAGTGTCTGCTAACATGTAGTCAGCTTTCGAATGAGGAACGATCAGAATGTTCATGTGGTGTGCATTTCCTCACGCAGCACCTCAGCAAACACTGATTGGTCTACACAGTTAACACCACTGAAAGTTTAGTTATGTGTTGTTGTTATGTGTGCTGTGTTTCAATTACATAAAATACATTCAACCCTTGTAATTACATAGTATCTATATTTAACGTACAGTGTCTGTTAGTAGGAGAACTGTGTGCAACATGCTGCAGCTCCTTCAAAAATTGACATCTGATGGAATTTTCTAGAGTGGATGTGATCAGCACGGGCAGCCTTCTGACAGAGCTCTGTACCCTGCTGAGTGCACTTTTTTATTTTTTGTTTTATATTCATATACTATTCTTGTCTTGTGTACAAAAAGTACACAAAAACAAGCAGCCTAAATATGAAATGTGTTATTGATTCTGTATCTGTCATTAAAGTGATCTAATATGTTTTTCTGAAGGACTACATGAAACATGTAAGCAGTATGCCTACAACTGTAAAACTACAACAAAAAAACCCCACATGTAAATCTGGGTCATATGTGAAATGTCTGGAAACTACATGTGCCTAAAATGATGTTTCACATGTGACATTATATGTAAAACTTTTGTTTTAACATATGAAAAATCATATGTGCCTTATCAGGGTCATCTAAAACCACACGACCCTGAATGTGAAATGTAGACATGTAAAATGATAAACGACATATGATAAATTTTGGTATGTCATGTCTAATGTCAATATAATAGTGTTGGGATTCACGGGACCAAAGGTGATTTGTCATTTGTTAAAATCTAAACTGGACATGTGAAGACTTTTCTTCTCTGCATGCTTTTTGTTCTTCAGACAAAGAGAGCCATTTCTCACCTCAGTGAGACCAGTCGTCAAACTTGATTGGAAAGGACTTTTACAGTGACATGTGACTCTGTAATGTCACCAGGCCACTGTAGAAGGTCTGCTCCCTTCAGACAGACACTGTCTTGCTTGTGAGCTGTCGACCAGCTCACAGCACCTCTGGCTCCTGGGCCTTTGGCCCGCCCAGACAGATCTCTCTTTCTCTTGGTCTCTGACCAACTCAGAGGCCATTGCTCCAAACCACTAAAGGGAGGGCAATTGCTCACAACCTCTCTTTCTCCTGGACCACGACTTGCCATGCTCAAGACAGAGGCAAACCTGAACCAGAGAAGTTAGATTTGCAAACACAAGGTTTGCAACTAGCTTTCCAGTGACAAGGAGAACCAAATTGAGTTAGCACCCCAGCGTCTAACTCTGCAAAGAACCCGAGCAACCAGCTTCCTCGGATCTGCAGCTTTGGAACAAGGACACAACAAAGACTGCATTTGGAACCACAGCTCTTTCCAGCCTCTCCTGCCGGCTAACAAGAGCAGCACATTACAAAGTGACTCGTTCTTCCATCCATTCAAGGATCGGTAATGTAACAACTGGGCATAGTTTTATCACAGCTGTACAGGCTAAGCAAGACTGTTTAATTTGTTTTGAATGTGATTTAATGCTGTTTACCGAGTCATTGTTGTGATTGTTTGCAATTAGGTTATTGGTTAGTTGGCTTCGCCAAAGCTAAGTGTTTAGTTTGCTAATGCTGTTCACAGAAACGCCTTGCATGCAGCTAAACATCCTCTGCATTGATCCAGACCATTTGCAACACATATCACATTCACATAGACTCATTTACAAATAGGCTTTCAACATAGCTACACCTAAAGAGGCAACTCAAAGTCCCGCTTCTTTTCCTTTGTCTTTGTCCTGATCACACGGTCAGACAAGACCTCCCTCGATCTAAAGCCAGCTTTGATTCAGCCATCTTGTAGTTCTCTGTTGTCAGCCATTTTGTGTTGTAGGCCAAACAGCCCTTTGATCACCACACTTGCCTTTGTCTGTCTGTCTGTCTGTCTCTCTCTCTCTCTGTCTGCCTGCCTGCCTGTCTGTCTGTCTGTCTGTCTGTCTGTCTGTCTCTCTCTCTCTCTCTCTCTCAAATTCAAATTCAAATTCAAATTAGCTTTATTGGCATGAATGGTATGAACCGTTGTTACCGAAAGCAGAACGTACATACAGACATACAATTCAATTACAATACAATTAATACAATACATTAATTATTAATATAAATACATTAAATAGGCAGAGTGTTATAAGGAGACTGTGTTGTTGTGTTGTTGTGTCTCTCTCAGGCTGTGACATGCACTGACATATTTTGCTGCTTCTATGGCACTGACACTGTTTTCTCCAAGTAGATGTTGCATTTTCTCCTGATCAGAGAGGGTATCAAAATCAATCAGTCATGGTGGTCAGATAGTTTGCCATCGTATACTGTCTATTTAGAGCCAAATAGCATTGAAGTTTGCTTTGAGTTTTTGTGGTAGATGTCCAATAGTTAATGTAATTTTCTTTTTCTTTAGCTATAATTTGGTTGGGCCGGATTGTGTGAGGGCTGTGCTGAGGCCTTGTATTGTTAGAGGAGGTGAGCCTCAGGACCAGCTGGCTGAGGGGACTCTTCTCTATCTTCTCCTCTTGACTATGGAGAGCTTTGTAACGATGAGAATTGGAGTCACTTTCTCTTTGTCTGTCTGTCTGTCTGTCTGTCTGTGTCTCTGTCTGTCTGTCTGTCTGTCTCTCTCTCTCTCTCTCTGAGTGGAGCGTTGTGAGCGTGTGTGAGCGGTTTGATTGAGTTTTTCAATCTTTTTCTATCTTTTCTGTCTTTTTCTCTTTAATGTATTTGTCAGTGTAGTAGTGTTTTGTTGGGTTTTCTGTGTTTTACCAGCCAGGCTTTGTCTGCTTTTGTCTTGGCATCTCACACGCCATGGTGGTAGGCGGCGGTGATTTCTCCTGGTTGTCGTGGAGACACAGCATCAAGTTGGGTGCTAGGTTTCCGCACACCGTGGATGAGGTTGCCCTCGCCGTAGGAGAGGTGGTCAGGCATGCCTCGGTGAAATCGGCGGCCCGGATGAACAGTGCGGTGGTCTTGTTCCTGGAGAAGGTGGAGCAGGTGAACTGCCTGGTGGAGACGGGGATCAGTGTCGGTGGTTTGTTTGAGTTGGTGCTGCCACTCACTCAACCGGCAACAAAGATCACTCTGTAAAACGTCCCCCCGTTCACAAGTGATGTGTTCTTCAGCAGGAAGTTATCCAGACACGGTAAAATCGTTTCTCCAATTAAAAAAGTCCTGTCTGGATGTAAATCTCCATTACTCAAACACGTCATTTCCCACCGGAGACAACTTTTCATGATATTGAAAAACCGGAGGGTGGGTGGGGTGAGTGGGAGAGATGACACAGATGGAAACAAAGGTGAGGAGGCAGGTGAAGCTGGTGTTGGGCAGGTAGGTGAAGCTGGTGTTGGACAGGTTGGTGAAGCTGGTGTTGGACAGGTTGGTGGAGCTGGTTTTGGAAAGGTAGGTGAAGCTGGTGTACAGCAGGTAGGTGAAGCTGGTGTTGAGCAGGCAAGTGAGGTAAGTGAAGCAGGTAAGACAGGTGAAGCTGGTGTTGGACAGGTAGGTGAAGCTGGTGTTGGGCAGGTAGATGAAGCTGGTGTTGGACAGGTAGGTGAAGCTGGTGTTGGACAGGTAGGTGAAGCTGGTGTTGAGCAGGAAGATGGGGCTGGTGTTGAGCAGGCAGGTGAGGTATAAGTGTAACAAGTAAGACAGGTGAAGCATGTGGTGGGCAGGCAGGTGAAGCTGTGGAGATGATGGAACA